TCCAGCCGTCCAGATCTCAACACCAGTAAGGGTCTGGATTGATCTGAAACTGTATCCTCTTCGGCCTGGATGCATGTCTTGGTACCTGCGCACAAGTGGATGTATCCAACCAAGGGCCTGGCGTGGTACCTTTGCCTTGACAGTTGACTTTGACTCTTGAATTTCCTGAGCCTAGCACTTGGTCCCACAGCCGCGTGCGGCCTACTCAGATCTGGGCATGTGCTGGTCACACAGCCCAGCGCAGACCTGTTTTGGTTTGTGTGGCCTGGGGCTGAGTTCTAGGCCCCGGGCTACTTCTGAACAGGGTTATTACATTCCTGCCGACCCATTTTCGAGTACCACCGCAGAAATAATTATGACTTCAACCCTCGTTCATAAGCAGAAACGATGTCAGGAGCAGTTTCAAGTAGTTCCTTCTTACTAAACCATCGGTCCTCTGATGGTTGTTGAGATTTGAAACGTACCTTGAACTGCTTCTGAGGACGTCCTCGTGCTCCTGTAGAAAAGAACCCGTGTTCTATGATTCTATCGACTTCATAGCCTCCGTCCATAGATGGTGGAATCATAGAGGGTCTATTGGGAAACTCATTTCCTTCTACATAAGGCAATAGTTTGGACGCATGAAAGACATAGTAAGTCTTGAGATGAGGGGGAATATCAATTCGATAGGACGGTCCCTCTGCATCTCCCAATACTTTGAGAACTTCCCAGGGTCCAAAGTAAACAGGTAGCAGTTTTTGAGTCACATCTTCTTCCAGTGAAAACTCTTTAGACTTAACCCAGACCCAATCACCTACTTTAAATGTAGATGGTCGTCGATGCTTATTGGCCTGTTCTATCATTTGTTCTTCGGTTTTCTTCAGGTTTTCTTTTACCTTCTTTACGTCTTCTTGGAACAAAACTGCATATTCTCTTGTCCCTGGAGGCAACCTAAGGAATTGGTCCCGGGTTAGTACGTCAATGGGACGCCTAGGTTTCCATCCCTTGTGCAGTGTGTTAGGAGTTCGTCCTGTAGCAATATGAACACTACTATTGTAAGCACTGGCAATCTTGGGCAAGTTCTCATCCCAGTCAATCTGATCGGGTCTTACGTACATGCGCAAGAGCTGTTGGCACAAGCGATTCATCTGCTCACTTTGCCCATTCGTTTCAGGGTGTCGCCCTGACGACATGGTCAAACGAGTGTAGTATGCTTCCGTCAGCTTTTGCCATGGCATACTTGTGAATCTCGTATCTCGATCAGACACAATAGTTAAGGGAAACCCATATTCAGTAACCCATCGCATCTGAAATTTCTGAATCACAAATTCAGTTCGTACTTCAGCAGGCAGGGGAATAAACATAGCATACTTAGATAAACGATCAACAATAACCATCACTTGACTATTGCCATTGCGGCTCTTTATGAGACTCATGAAATCCATGGAGATGGACTCACCTGGTTCACTTGGAGTTGGCAATGGTCTCAGTAGACCAAAGGGGTTCTCATGTGAAGGTTTGTTTCTCTGGCACACTAGACAGGTACGAACGTAAGTTAGTACGTCTTCCTTCATTCCCTTCCAATCAAAGCGTTCTCTGACCTCAGCGTAAGTTTTCTTGAATCCGAAGTGTCCCTCAAAATCGTGACATTCTCCAATCACCAGACTTTTAATTTCTTCTTTGTGAGGGATACAAAGTTTTTGTTCAGTTTGGTCAATCAAGAAAAGCAAACCATCGGCTATTCGGTAGTTGGGAAGGAGAGATGGGTCTTTGACAATAGTATCAAGGATAGGCTTCCAGATAGGATCACTAGCATACCCTTGGCGAATCTTTTCTTTCAATTCACTTCCCACATCCAGATAAGAGACGATAGTTCCGAAGAAGTCAAATCGCCTGGACAATGCATCTGCAACCACGTTAGACTTTCCTTTGATTGTTTTCAGTTCAAAGTCAAAGGTAGGCAGACCATCGTACCAGTTTGTCAGAGAGCTTAGGCTGTGTCTTTATCCACTGTAAGGTAGAGTGGTCTGAGTACACAGTGAAGTGCCTCCCTAACAAGTAGTGCTTCCAGGTTTTCAGCGCACTGACTAAGGCATACAATTCCCTTTCATAAGTAGAATTGGCAACTTTTTTAGTGGGCAATCGGACAGACATAAACTCGACTGGTCTGTAGCCTTTGCCGTCATCTTGTTGAAGGACTGCGCCAATTTCGTGCCGACTTGCGTCAGTTGTGACAATGAAGGGAAGAGAGGGGTCAACAATTTTCAACACAGGATAGTGGGTCAATGCATACTTCAATTTCTTGAATGTGGACTCACAATCCTTATCCCACAACCATATTGTTCCTTTCTTCAACAATCTTCTCATTGGTGCAGCAATCAGTGATAAGTTCCTAACAAACTTCCTATAGTAACTTGCCAAACCAAGGAAAGAACGCAACTCAGTGATAGACTTAGGTTGTGGCCAATCTCTAATTGCTGAAATCTTCTTTTCCTCTTGTCTTAGACCATCTTCGTTCACTATGTGTCCTAAATATAGAACTTCTGACTTAGCGAATTCAAATTTCTTCGGGTTTAATTTGAAGTTACCTTCACACAACTTCCCCAATACAAGACGGAGGTGTTTCTCATGATCTTCTAGTGTTTTACTATACACTAGAAATCATCGAGATACACGATGACGAACTGATCCAACCATTGACGAAATAACTCATTCATGGACCTTTGGAAGGTCGTTGGGGCATTCGTCAATCCGAAAGGCATTACCACAAACTCTTAGTGACCATACCTTGTTCGGAAAGCCGTCTTGTGTTGATCTGCGGGATCCACCTCGATCTGGTGGTACCCAGACTTCAGATCAATCTTGTTGAAGTACTTGCAGCCCTGCAAGTAGTCCAACAAGTCGTCAATACGTGGTAGGGGTTCGACATTCTTGACAGTGACAAAATTCAACCCTCTATAATCAATGCAAAGACGTAACTCACCTTCCTTTTTAGGCACAAACAAAACAGGAGCGCCGTAAGGAGAAGAGCTAGGGCGAATCCATCCTTTTTCAGTTAGGTCCTGGAATTGTTTTCTCAATTCTTCAAGTTCCCTAGGAGACATTCTATAGATAGGGCCCTTGGGAGTCTTACTACCAGGAATGATCTCAATAGTGTGCTTAATGGCAAGCTCAGTGGTTCCAGTTGGTTCCATTGATAAGTCTTTATACTCAGCTAGGAGTTTTTCAATCGAGGGTGGATAGGAAGTAGAGGACTCACCAACTTGCTTCACGAGCACCATCATTACTTCCTGTTTCAATTTCTTTTTCGAAACCATCGAACGAAAGGCTGGATAACTCATGCCACAGAAAGACAGACTAGAGTCAGAGTCAGACTTATGATACAATTTGATGGTTTTCATTTCATTTTGTGCGTCCCGCAACTGCACAATTTTGTCCTTGAACTTTATATTTGGGTTGGCTTCCTCATGCCAATCCATCCCCAAAATCATGTCAAACGGCAAATTCTTTTCAACAAGGAAATAAATTTCATGCATTATTTTTTTCCCGTCCTTCGTACGGAAACGACACCTCACACGATCGACATATTGTGAGACAGTGATCGTGCTTTTGTCAGCAGGATAGACGTGATAGGTCGAGATAAGTTCTTTACCTTCATTCCAAGATGCAATTTGCGAATTGCTTTCTTGGATATGTAGGACCGCGTAGATCCTGAGTCTAATAGTGCACCCGCGCGTGCATATGCGATTTCTATATCTGCGAGTAATAGTTTACCCTTAGACTTTGCTTTCTTAGCCTACGAGCTTCGTAATGCTAGCAACTCGTTACCAAGCTCATCAAGGGAGTCGTCCAGAGAGATAGAACATAAGACAGGTTCAGGGTGTTCTGGACGATGGGCTGGAGAAGATTCATCCTCTGCCATGTGAGTCGAAGGGTTGAAAGGGTTAGTAGGCGCCTTACCTTTCTTGTCATCCAAACCCTTCAACTCAGTAGGAGCAGATGCTACTCCTACTCGCGACTGGCTTTCCGGTTTCGAATTAATGGGCACCAATCAATCACATGCCCCGCAACCCCGCATTTCAGGCATTGCGCATTGTTCATCCGGTCCTGCCAAGTCTTTTCGTCGATGTCCATTTTCTCCCAGGGCTTTCCGACTGCAATACCGGGATGCTCCGGAAATGAACGCGGTCTCCTCCTCACTCCTGGTCGTGGTCCTCCCTTTTTGACCATGGCGGCAGTGACGTCCCCCTTTCCGGACTCACTGCCGCTTGCCACACCCTCGGCCTCCAATGACCACTTCTCCACAGTATCGTTGTCAAATACGACGAGGGTGTGATCCTGACGCTTTTGGCGCCAGAGTACTCGCTTACCTGTTTCTGCACCTGCACCACCACCATATTTCACAACAGATGCATAGGTGTTCTTCACCTGATAAGTCATTTGCTCTCTCTGAAGAGCCAAATCCCGAAATCGCCTATAGTTATACTTACCTGACTTTGACTCTGCCACAAGCTGACTACGCACGGGCTCGGGCAGAGCTCGGGAGTATATGTACAATACCTGATTGTCTTGCAAGTTCAGTCCTGGAACTTGCAGCAACCGATCAACCTCCCTGGACAAAGCTTCCACTGAGGTCCAATGTTTCTGTCCGATGGTCGTGAGCTGGTTGAAGGCCTTGTCGGCCGTCGTTTTGTCAAGGAAACGTTCCTTGGTTTCCTGCGGATTATGCCCATTTCCAAGGAACTATTTCAGATTCAGTGTTCCAGCCCAATCAAATATCATCGAACCCGGCTGCATTGGCTTCGGCCAAAACCCATCCTTAGCCTCCCCCCTTAGACAAGAAGTAGAGAAGGCTACCTGGGACTCGGGCTCAACAGGGGCTGTACCACAATAGGTCTGTATCTCCGCAATCCACAATAACAAATTCTCGTTTTTTTTATTGCAGAAGGTAAAAGGCAATTTCATTTTGACTTTGTCTTTCTTCTTCGGTTTCTCAGGTTGTGCAGGGCCTTCTTTCTTTCCATTCGGGGACTCCGGCGGCGGACTCTGCGGATCCGAAGGTTCCCCTTTCTTCTCTTCGGGTTTCTTTTCTTTCTTCTCGTCGGTTTTCACTCTGAGATGTTCTATAGCATCTCCCATCAGTTTCTTCGGTTTCTCTTCTTGCTTTGTCTCTTCTACCTTGTTCTTCCCTTTGACCAGGTTAGTGACAGTCTGTAAGCCTGCAATAAGCTCATCAAGTCGCAAACCATGCTGGTTAAGTCTCGCTTCAATGTGAGCAAGATAACTTATAAGCTGATTCAGAGAAACAGTCTGTTCTTCCCCTTCAGTCACTACAACATTTTATCTGATTTCATCTACTTTTTGTTCTTGCTGTTTGTTTCTTTCTTTTTCTCTTCTTAATTCCTCTTTTCGGATTTTCTCTCTCTCAAGGGCTTCCTCAAGCTGATGGATATTCTCATCCACTATCTCCTCTGTCACTTCTTTCTTCATGCTTCCATTAGCAATCTCATTAAACTGGTCCATGATGTACTTATCAAGGGCCTGACGACACTTGATGAGTACTTCCTGAACTTGCATGACATCGGTGCCAGTCTCAGCTGCCTCAAGGTTGTACAATGCCCGGACATGGGCTTTTGCCTCAGCACCGGCCTCATGAAGTTCAATGATCAATATATTCAATCGGGCGGATAATTCTTGCTTCCGCTCTTGCACTTGTCGCCTGGTTCGAGCCTCAGGTAGTTCTTCGGTTATCTGAGAAGTGCTTTCAGGTTGAGACATTTTGAGAGAAGTTTGCTGAAAATAAACAAATAATTATTAATAGTAAAATTTCAGCAGCACAGTTCTAACTTACAGCAAGATTTATTGCAACTAAGAGAGAAAATAGATTCAATTTATTACTAATGCTGTTCTTGTTCGTAGTCTGTGTGATGACGTCCTTTTCAGATTTCTACAGGTACCACTTCAGGCCATGTGATCAGATACACACACAAGTGAGTACGCATAGCACCACAACAAGCAACGCAAGGTAAGTATACCAACATCAATCAATGACAATATGTTAGTATCCTTCTTCTTGCCCGCGTCAATACTTGTGCCAATACGTTACAACACACCAATCAACGGTTGGCACTACAGCTGTACCAATCAGCTGTACCGCCGTTGTCGTCGGAATGTAATCTCTCACTCAGGCAACTTCTTGCCTGCCACGTGTCATTCCAGCATACCAACACGGCAAACTGCCACGTCAGCGGTATCCAATCAACAGATGCTGGGATGCCACATCAGCAATGTGTTTCCTGTCCTCCCCATGTGCCTCATCCACGTGTCTTGTGATACCGTACTCAAACCAGCCAATCTGTAAGCGGTGTCCACATCAGCAAAGCTAATCTGTCGCCACTTCAATGCCACATCAGCAGGAGGGCACTCATCGTGAACACGGCGGCCCACTACTGCCACTTCGACCCAAGGAATAGTGCCACGTCAGCAGATGATCACCACAACAGAAGACAAGTGCGGTAATCCTCTCCTGCCACGTCAACAATAAGCACCTCCAAGAGCCACGTCAGCTTCTGTGCAGGATCTGGTCGCATGTCAGAGACAAACGCGACAATACTTGCCACGTCAGCAACCAGATCCTGGGACGTGGCACATCACATGCCACGTCAGCAGACAATCGCGATCTTCTATCGCGATCCCGGCCGGTATCCCAACTGCCACATCAGCGTGGGCATCGGGATTTGTATCTGCGCCAGCAATACTCTTCTCGCCAGCAATCTTCGTCTTCAACAGCAGACCTTCGTCATCATCATCTCGCCACGTGTGCAGTCCCTACTTACCTGGCGCCACCTGGCGCTTGCACACGTAGGCCGTCGTCGTCGTGTCGCAATCAGGAGTACAACTCCGATACCAAATTGCAATGAACCCAAGTCGTGAATACGAATGTTGACAATGTAAGTCTAGATTATCGAGCCGCTGATAGTTCCAATAATCAAACAGTATCCAGAAAGAGAGAGAGAGGTGAGATAATCATACACAGACGAAGAGGAAGGAGGGAGGAAAGACAAGGGAGAGGAAATCACAATGCCCACTCCTTCTCCGGGCTCCTTCCTTTATCACCACCTACAGTAACCAGTAATCTGAACACATATCGAAG